ATTTAATAAAATTCGAGAGTTTTACAATAATTTTAAGGTTAGGAATAATTATTAAAAGTTTTTATTTCTTGAGCTAGAAATGCAAATAATTCTTTGGACGAGTAGCCTCTGCTTTATTGACCCACTAGAACTATAAATAGCCAGGTTTCTCGAACACACAAGTCATTTTCATTACAAATTATTATTATTATTCGTAATTACAATTATTAAAAGATTTCTCCTCTTCTTCTATTTATAGTAACTATCGTAGCGCCTTTATTTAGTAATAGTAGCTCTAATTAAACAATTACTAGCGAAGTTGCTTCTGGGACAGGCTCTAGGTCGGTTGTTGTATACTGATTGGAGAATTTGTTTTAGTGAAGGAAAAATTAATGATGAATTAACGTTTTTTTAATAACTTGTTATTTAGTTGGCATTTAATATGATGACGAAAAGAAAAATCCATTATTGAATGTATGGAATAATATGATGATATTGCTGAGCTCTTGTACTTTAAAAATCGGCTTCAACTTCTCCTGGCGTTTTTATCCCAGGTTTCTTGAAGCCAATAAATAATATCAATGTTATTTTGAATATATTTTCTTTCGAAATTAAATTGATTATTATTAACTCTATTATAATCACGAGCAAAATGTCCAGGTTGGTTACATTTAAACAAGTATGTCATTATTATTATCATTCGAAGATTTATTACGGTTATTATCATTGAAATTGTTACTTGCTATTTTCCCCCAATTACTACTGACATTTGAATGAAACTTTTATTATTCTTCTTTGTTAATTACTAAACTTTTAATACTTTCTTGTAAATCAATCAATGGATCTAATTTTTCTTTTAGTTTTTGTTCAATTAACTTATACATTTTAATCATCCTTTTTGTTGAATAGATGCTAATGAACTAGTTGACAAATATCCTGGAATCATAAAATATGCAGATAATTTCATATCTCTAGAAAAGGCTTTTAATATATTAATTTAATATTATTGGCATATATGGTTGAACAGGTACAAGGAACTCGATCCTCTTAACCTGTCCATAAATTGTCGAATTTTAATCAGATACTGGATATACATCTTCTGAATCTATTTTTCATCCAAAGAATCTGAATATTCTTCTATAGTTCCATCAATCTTTGTTTTTATTTCTAAGCTGACACATCCATAGTGAAATACGAAAAGGACTACAGAAATGTTTTTTAAATACATTCACAGACCCACAATTTGGGTACATGATTACTATCCATCTATTAATTTTGATTAAAGCAGTTCATTTTGAATTAGAAGGTACGATTTTTCATCAGAAATACTAATTAATTCTAACCATTCTATAGGATCATGCGCACCTTTTTAAAAAATAGGAAATTCTATTAATTTTTCCTCTTTATTAGAGTTTCTCCTTTGGTCACTTAAAATGGTTAATGGATTTTGTAGGACTCCTCTACTATCAAATCCACAATATTACCTCACTTTCGTCATCATTATTAGAACTATTATATCATTAATGATCAAAGGAATACTAGATATATATTGATATTGCTCATGATGAAGGTTTATAATTATTTGCTACATGTAATTTAAATATAAGTGAAAATTTGTGATATTTCATTAGTGCTGGATTGATTTTATGGGGGGGGGGGGTTATTATGTTCTCTTCCACACAACTTGCATCAAATTGTTATCAGTCCAAATCCTACTACTCAAAAGAACAAAAAAATAATAAAATAATAAATAAAAATATTTTTAAAAAAATCATTACAGTCAAAGCTCGTTAAATTATAGGTCTGGCACAGCAAATTTTATGAATTATGCTATTATCGCTCTTTAAATGAGAATGAGTAGAGATTTTTCTATAAAAAGATAAGATTTTCGATGAAAAAATTTATTGTGTTGTGATCAATTGAATTTTTATTTTATCTGTATTTCTACGCTTAATTTGAAAACTTGAATTCATTTTTATTAGCATATTAACAAGGGAAAACAATTGAATTTACTATTTATATAATAGTAATATTTTTATGGTTAGACGATTTATCAAATTATCGAATAAATCAATCATGTACTTCTTTTTATTTCTCTGCGGGTACTTTATTTCCAGAATTTTAACCTCATGAGACACTTTATACCTCAATTCTGTAACAGAATAGGCCAAATTCTGAATAAAAACGTGAATTATGTTTATTGAAACAAACTAAACCTCAACCAAAGAATATTGAATTAGCACAAAAATATAACATTAGCACAAGCCAAGTTAGTGATATATTGAGAGAGTCTAATAGATGGCTTGAAATTGATCCAAATTCTTATCAAGCAAAATTAAAAAAAGCACATACTTCTCCTGTTGCTAATGTTGAAGATGCTTTAATTTTATGGATCCAGAAAGCACTTGAATGTAATGTAACAATTACAGGCAATGTTATTCAACAAAAGGCTCTAAAATTTGCTGAGTTATTAGGTAACAATACTTTTAAAGCATCATCTGGTTGGCTTGATAAATTCAAGCAGAGATATTCAATTAAAGAATATAATAAACATGGAGAATCTCAAAGTGCACCTATTGAACAGATTCCTAGAATGAGAGAAGAATTGAAAGATGTTCTTAAAAATTACAGAAGAGAGGATATTTTTAATTGTGATGAGACAGGCCTTTATTGGAAGATGGAACCAACTCGTGGATTATCAACAGCCCCCATCTCAGGCTTAAAGTTAAATAAAGAAAGAGTAACAGTATTATTGACTTGTAATGCAACAGGTACTGAAAAGTTACTTCCTTTATTTATTCATAAATATGAAAACCCTCGACCATTAAGAGGGATTAAAAAAGATACATTGCCTGTTGAATATTATTGGAATAGTAAAGCATGGATGCAAGTTTCTATATGGAATGATTACTTAAAAAAATTGGATGATAAAATGCACACTGCAAATAGGAATATATTATTACTTATTGATAATGCACCAACACATATTTTAATGGATAATTTAGATTTAAGAAATGTAACAATTCATCACTTTCCTCCAAACACAACTGCACACTTGCAACCATGTGATGCAGGGATAATTCATTCCTTTAAGGTCTGTATTTCAAACAATTTAAATTATTTATTAAATTATTTGTATCAAATATATTAAATTATTTATATATATGTATTTATATTTACAGTCAAATTACCGGAAATTATTTATTGCAAGGAAGATTAAAATTTTTGATAAGAAACAAAATGGTTTAAATCCAAAAGAAATTGATATTAGAAAGGCAATAAATTTTGTCTCAGAAGCCTGGAAAAATGTTACATCAATCACTATCAATAATTGCTGGATAAAAACTGGTATTATTCCTTTAGATTATGAAGAACAAGTTGGAGATGCAACAACATTAATACAAAATATTATAAATGACCAAAGAGATGATGTTGATAATTTAATTGATAGATTAAATTTCAGTTCAGCATTAACAGCAGAGGAATATATATCAATTGATAATAATGAGAATAATGAAATGCCAACTGAAGAGGAAATTCTTAATTCTTTTGAGGAAATTGAAGAGGAGGATGTTATTGTAAGTAGTACAACTATTCCTAATGTTTCAATAAATGAAGCTGTAAAAGCTTTTGAAACTGCTTTTAATTTTCTTGAACAAAATAATATACAAGCAGATTATAATGAGTTAAAAGCTTTAAAATCATTGAAAAAAAAAATAGAATTATATAGTATTCAAAATTCAATACAAACAAACATTACTAATTTTTTCAGTAAATAATTGACTATTAATTAGCATTTTAATTTTTTGTAAATTTTACTGTATTGTATTAAGTATTATTATATTTAAATCATTAAACGTAAAAAAAAATTTTTATTATTATTAAAATTTTCCTGTTGATCCTGTCGATCATTATCTCGTTTCAACGGATTTTTCGTTTCAACGGATTTAGATGGTCAGTCCCATAGATCCGTTGAAACGAGGTTTGACTGTACTATTAATACAATAAATAATTATGCACCTGAATTTTACATCTTCACGCGCAACAAATAAATAATAATTTACTAGGCCATACAATATAAAATTATTTTATATATTTAAAGGAAAATTTTTCTGTCAATGCTAAATAAAAACATTAATTTGGAAAATATTATACAGAAAGGTTCTTTTAATGGAATATACAGAACCCTACCAAAAATAGCAATTCATTCTATAAAAAAGGAAACCAAACCAAATTGTAGCTCAATTTTTGTAAAACCAATCTGACATTTATCAAATACGTGATGATTAAATTTGTGTGCTACTGGAGATGGCAGGAATTACAATGTTTATATTGGTTAGTTCTTATTTGTCACGTAGGTTCTATATATTTCATAAAAAGCTAATTTATTATTGGTTTTAGAATGAAAACAGATCGACAGGATTATTAGTTAATTTACCTTGGTAATCAATTTATCGAAACAAGAATGGCAACAAATTCCTCGCAAAACTTAACTGATAGTATGCTTAGAAAGGATACAGGGATCCATTTCCTACAATTTGTGGTGGCCAACTAGATATTAAAATTTTTAATTATAATAAATATGAGAAGCAGAGCTTTCAAATAATACAAAAATTATTTTGAAATTTGGATGTAAACTTTTACCCACCAAGTATATGCAAAACTTGTTTCTTTAATAAATTTAAATGTACTGACAAAATTCGTTATAAATAAACATGATCGATTCAAATGTAATTCTTTCTGGCATTAATTACTCTTTCCGGATAAAACACTTTAATCAATCCATACATTCGATACATAACTTTGTGACTAATGAAACTGGATCGAAATTTTTAATGATCTTATTATTATATCGTTAATTGGGAGGAGCTTCAATATTTGAATCTACAGTATATATACTGTGCATTTATTAATACCACTTCTCAAACTCGATATTATGTGGAGAATAATTATATTTAATTTAGAAAAATATATAAAGTACATAATAATAATAAATAATAAAGAAAATAAAAATAAAATTTTTACTGATTTTGATTTTTTAAATAGTCAATGATTTTTTCCATTTCAGAACAATGCTGATTTATTATTAGCATATAATCCTTAATAAGTGACATACGGTGAGAAATAGAAAGAATTAAAGAATTATTGTTATATTTGATGCCATTATTGGGATTCAATAAAGGAATGTTATTAATGTTTGAATTAACAGGATTATGATTTGAATTGAGATTACTGCCATAATAATTACTATTATTATTGTTGTATAAAAGTTGATGTGGTTGCTGTTTGGATAAGTATGATAAAGGTTGTTGTGGTTGGGGTGGCTGTTGTAGTTGAGGTAAGAATGATAAAGGCTGTTGTGGTTGCGGTTGAGGTGAGAATGATAAATATTGTTGTAGTTGAGGTGGTTGTTGCGGTTGAGGTGAGAATGATGAATATTGTTGGGGTTGGGGTGGCTGTTGTAGTTGAAGTGGTTGTTGCGGTTGAGGTGAGAATGATGAATGTTGTTGGGGTTGGGGTGGCTGTTGTAGTTGATGTGGTTGTTGTGGTTGAGATAAGCATAATAAAGGTTGTTGTGGTTGAGGTGAGAACGATAAAGGCTGTTGTGGTTGCGGTTGAGATGAGAATGAATTTTGTTGTGGTTGGAGTGACTGTTGTAGTTGAGGTGGTTGTTGCGGTTGAGATGAAAATGATGAATATTGTTGTGGTTGGAATGGCTGTTGTAGTTGAGATGGTCGTTGCGGTTGAGGTGAGAATGACATAGGTTGGGGTGGTTGAGGTTGAGGTGAGAAAGGTAAAGTTTGTTGTTGATGGGATGGAGAGAATGATGATGGCGGCATTGTATTATTATTACTATTACTACTATTATTATTACTACTACTACTATTATTATCATTATTATCATTATTATTATTATTATTATTATTATTATTATTATTATTATTATTATTATTATTATTATAATTATAATTATTATAATTATAATTATTATTATTATTATTATTGCAGTTTAAAAGTGAAATATGATTATATTGTTCACTAGACATTTTGAATTTTTTTTTAAAAAAATGGGTTTTTGATTTTTTTTTTTACTTTTTAGAAAAATTGCACGTATTTATATTATTTTCATGTCAAAAATAAAGTTGATAAAAATTTTTTTGGTCTCAGAGTTTATACTGAGTAAATTTATAAATTTCGGAGTTAAAAATTTTTTTACAATTTTACTCAGTATAATTTCAGAGTTAATACTGAGTAATGTGAAAAATTTTTAATCAGGATACACCACTTTTTAAATAATAAAATTCCGTAACATTAATTAATCAATCAATTAATAACGCACATATAAATAATAGAAGTCATTTAGAATCATTTTTATTTATATTTTTTTTTTTTTTTTTTTTTAGAATAAATTACAGAGTTAGTTTATTATTGTTGATCGTTATAACAAGTATAAATGTGTTATACCGAATTTATAGCATTTTTACCTCACATATATAAAAAAAATAAAAAAATAAAATCAAGATTGATTAAGAAAAATATCTCGAAATTTTACTATGCAAAATGGGTATTATTTCTGATCAAAAATATTCTAAGGGTTGTATGGCGAACATGCGATCCAATAAAATCACTAGTTCTCCAACTAGTGAAGCATATATGAGTATTCCTTGAGATCTCAATTCACTGGTTATTAAGGGCTTATTGCAGAAGAATTTTGGTTAAGTGCCTTGGTTTTTTTTCCAGCTGCATGCGCCAATAAAATAAAATATGTATAACCATGCTCCTTGAAGCGTCCTTACAAACAACACAGCAAATTAAAATGGTTCTTAACTAGTAATTAAAGGTGGCCAAACCATTATTCATTAGAAGGGTCATGAATCAATCACACCGGTTTTATTGATTAATTACAGTCAAAGACTATTTTTATGTAAAAGTATTGTTTTTATTATCAATGTGTTAGATTAATTCAAGTAATTTTTAAGTATGATTTATTATCCAATGATATAAAATAATACAGTTCACTCTCTCTATGACAGCCCCTCTTATTCTGTTTTTGCTGGAAAAATCCGTTACAGAGAGAGACTGTTATAGACCAGTATACGAGACATATAAAATAATTTTAATTGGGCCAAAATTCTCAGTCCACTATAGAGTAAAAACCGTTTGAAAAAGGCCGTTATAGAGAGAGGAAACTGTACATGCATAAATATAAATAGGAAAAATATATGAATGAATGTCAAGGGTAACATTGCACAATGTGTGGCAAAACATTTCTCCCTTCTATCTTAATGCAACGGTTGCACTAAGGGTTTTACAGGTCTAGAGTTGGTCGGTAGTTCAATTGTAGCTCAAAATCCCAAATTTGGGCGTGTTATTTCAATTAAAAGTTTTTCATTTATTTTACTTAATAAAAGGATTTATATAGTAAAGATTATCCATTAATTACCTAAATATGTTCCGCAAAATTCGTTTCTTTACTTCCTTATTTATTATGGTGGGACTAATGTTGCATGACGAAACTTTCGACTTTAGTCATTGACGTGACGAAAGTGCTGGCTAAAGTAGTTTCTCACCGAGAGGCATTTTGGCGATTTGACGAAAGTAAAAATAATTGACGAAAGTAAAAATAGTTAACAAAAATAAAAAATCAATTCTTTTGTTTTGCAACTAGAGTAACGAATGTTTATTTATTATTTAACAATCATCATATAATCATAAAAAAGAAATTTACTTTCTCTTTAATTACTGACATTTAATATTATTTAAGGTTTTATATGTATAAAATTTATATAATTTGACTATTATTATTTATTATTTACTAAATCCGATTTTCAAAAAGATTTTGAATATATTGAAAATTCATTATTACAATACATTGTTAAAATTAGTTTTTTTTTTGATTTTTTTGATATTGGATATTAATAAATTTAACAAAGTAATATTCTTTTTTTTTTGTATTATTAAATGTTTTACTGCTACTTTTTCTTTTATCATTTTTTTTGGCTCAATTCTTACATTAAAACAACATAATTTACATAGAAGAAATGTTTACAATGAAGTTGTAAAAAATAAAAAACAAAAATAAGTTAAAAATTTTACTTTAATTAAAATTTTTTTTTTTTGCTTTGCAAAGATTTTAACTTTCGCCAAGGGTTTTAACTTTCGCCAAGGATTTAGTCTTTCGTCATGGGTTTAGTCTTTCATCATTTTTTATTACATTTGACGAAATAGTTTCTCAACTCCAAAAACATTACGTACTGCAACAAAATGAACACCACGTAACACTGAATTACAGGTTTTGTAATTAGTAGAAAAAACACGAAATTATAAAAAATTAAAAAATTTACTTCTTAATTGAATTTACTTACATTAATTAATCTTTTGATAATTAATTAAGACCCTTTTTCTATAATTGTTATCAGTGTTGTGACCCGAAGCTCTGAGTTTAGGGAAAACCAGAAACAGAAACTAACAGAAACCACCCGAAACTAGTTTAGGTTTAGATTTAGATTTAGTTTTAGTTTTCTGCTTAGTGTAAGTTCATTTTCCGAAACGTTTCGGGAAGCCAAAAGAGTTTCTGGCCACAACACTGATTGTTATTAGTTGCCTTCTAACCAAACAGCTTCTTTAACAAGTTCAGAGTCGGGAGATGGTGGAAATGGCGGTGTTTACATTGGTGACGACAATGATGATAATGATAGTCTTCTTTCTTAGAAATAATGATTCATTCTCACTATGTACACTATAAAAAAATCAAAGGTCAACCAAAGAACAATGATAAACATGCTCAAAGGATTGGAATGACAAGTTGTGGACCAATAATCACCACTATTTTTTCTAGAAGAGCTCCCTCTTCCAACAATACTCATACATAATAGTCACTTCTATCGTTTTTTCCTTTGGATTTTTGCGTCAATTTGTACTTTTTTTTTTGAAAAAGAAGAAATTATCAAAGGAAAATTAGGCGCCAAAGAAAGTAATTTTTACCATCAATAAAAATATTGTTATTATTTTCTCCTTGTACAATCCCAATATTCTTTATCTTGTTCAGAAAGAGCAACAGGGTAGCAGATGTGGTGGCGGTAATTTTAGTGGCAATAGATTGTTGTAAAGACGTCGATGAGGAGGAATTGTCATTATTATCATTACCTATATTATCTTTATTAGTTTGATTGATTTGAGAAGGCATTATTAGTATTATGTCAGTCGAAGGTTTTGTTTTTGGGATTGATGTTAAAGCTGTTGTTGCTTCAATTATTTCAGAGGTTGTTGTCGTTGTCGTTGTTGATATTATATCTGATTCAACTGTTGCTAGAATTTTGTTTGTCTCCGTAACGATATTATAAAAGACGAAACCATTAAAAGGAAAAAAAAGAAAAAAAATTAAAATTAAAAAAAACCGATTATGTTTTTAAAGAAAAAAAAGAATTTAAAAAAACGAAAAAAAAGAATGTACGCACTAGAAACCCCGATTATTAATCTACTTATTATTATTATTATGTTAATTAAAAAATATATAACGAATTTTTTTTTTGATTCAAATATATTGACATAATATATATAATATATATAATGTTTTTTTAATTTTTTTTTTTTGATTCAAATATATTTATATAATATATATATATTATACATAATGTACTGTGGTATAAATAATATGTGTGTATAATATACACTCCCTGGACAAAAATATCCAGACACCTGTTTTTTGATTATACAAAAACGCACATAATAACTACACATAAAATTTTATCAAAATGCAGCTTAGGTTTTGGTGAATATGCATGTAAATTTTGATACTTTCAAAACGTCCGAAATAATACTTTAATATTAATATTGAGTTGGCCATCCATCGCTAGAAATGCATGCCTCAATCCTTCTAGGTTTCATATGGAGTTCTTGACTACACTTCTTGTAAAGCAGCTTCCAATTCATTGACATTTTTTGGGTATTGTATTCACTTATCTAATCGCCTTCCTAGTTCACTCCAAAGATGTTCAATCTGGAGATTGCGAGGGTCAATTAGGTATCTTCACGAAGGCCCAAATTTTTCCTCTTCATTTTTTGCATTTTTACGTTTTTAAGATTAAAAAAAAAAATTGTCAGTCTTGATTTTTATAAGTCCGATTTTAATTAACAATTTTTTTAATTTTATTATTAATTATTGATGCTAGCCAAAATTACAAAATTTTGTATTCATATTCCTGATAATCTAAGTTACAAATAGACATAAATTTTTATTTTTATTATTATGTAGGATTTTGAAAAACAAAAAATGATATCGCGATTTTCGTCGAGGTTCGGGATTTTTTAATAAAAATTTTTCTAGACGTTCTAAAAATATCAAAATTTACATGCATATACATCCTAAGTTACATTTTGATAAATTTTATTATGTGAGTTTTTGCATGATGATTAAAAAGAGGTATCCGAATACTTTTGTCCGGAAAGTGTATATTAACTTTCTGCCTCTACTCCCAAGCAAGGCTCTGAATTATTAATACGGGATTGTTTAATTACCCGGTTGATTAATTACAATAATTTCTTGATCTTGTTTTAACATTTGCGCGCACCTAATTTTCCGCCTCAGATTTATTGATCTTTTCTATTTGGAAACCATTTTTTCTTCTCTTGATTCTTCAACACATGCTTTACAAAAGGTTTTTGATTTGATTTGGTTTGATTTAATATTGATTCTGATAATATGTTGATGGTAAAAATTTCAGTCCAACTTGGCATTCTACTCTAATTTAACCCTCAACGAGGAAAATTTTTTGGTTGTATGAGCGAAAGATAATAATAATGTGTGAATAAAAAATTTATCCCTTCGTTGGATCAACAATTCCCCTTTTGTTTTGTCATTTTTGAATGATAAATTCCGGAGAGCTTAAAGGCATTTTCTCACGTTAACTTGTGGTTTGTACTACTAGTCCCGGACGTGCCCGTGTACCACACTGGTTGTAATGGAAGTTTAGGCTTTCTTTTGAATCAAATACTAACCACTGAATACTGAGTTATAGAAATATATTTTAATAAGTAAAGTTTATGTTTTTCGAAATTTCGTTAATTGACTAATATAAACATTAATAATTAATAGAATAAATAAATAGTACTTAACAATTATTAATAAAGGCGTGAAAAAAATTATAATTTTGGAATAGAACATTGTTTTTATCCGATATAAATATTTCGAAAATCTTGACAACTATTTATTAGTATTATAACTTCATTAAGCAATATAATGTATTAACATTAATGGCATAATTATTTCATATAAAGTTGTTCTCCGGAGGAAATGGCATGCTTGTGTGACAGCTCTAAATATAAATAATAATTTACATTTATTATTTAAAAAAAACCATTGTTGCCCAATCACCTTATTGAATAAAACCAATATTTCAAGGTAAAATTTTTGTCAAAACCAAATAAAAACATTATTTATTATTGATTTTAGAATGAATACAGGTCACTCCCGTTATAAGGACACTCTCGGGCAGACCTAAAAATGTCATTATAACGGGAATGTCATTATAACGAGATAAATTTTACTAAGTCCTAACATACTTGGGACAGAGTCCAAGTGTCCTTATAATGAGATTGTCCTTATAACGGATGTCCTTATAACGGGAGTGACCTGTATAAGTTTAAATGCACTGACAAAATTCATTATAAATAAACATGATCGATTCAAATGTAATTCTTTCTGGTATTAATTACTCTTTCCGGATAAAACTCTCTAATCATACATTCAATACATAACTTTGTGACTAATGAGCCTGAATTGAAATTTTTAATGATCTTATGATTACATTGTTAATTGGGAGGAGCTTCAATATTTGAATCTACAGTATATATACTGTGCATTTATTAATACCACTTCTCAAACTCGATATTATGTGGAGAATAATTATATTTAATTTAGAAAAATATATAAAGTACATAATAATAATAAATAATAAAGAAAATAAAAATAAAATTTTTACTGATTTTGATTTTTTAAATAGTCAATGATTTTTTCCATTTCAGAACAATGCTGATTTATTATTAGCATATAATCCTTAATAAGTGACATACGGTGAGAAATAGAAAGAATTAAAGAATTATTGTTATATTTGATTCCATTATTGGAATTTAACAAAGGAATATTATTAATGTTTGAATTAACAGGATTAGGATTTGAATTGGGATTGCCACCATAATAATTGCTATTATTGTTGTTGTTGTATAAAAATTGTTGTAGTTGATGTGGTTGTTGTGGTTGAGATAAGTATAATAAAGGTTGTTGTAGTTGGGATGGCTGTTGTAGTTGAGGTGGTTGTTGTGGTTGAGGTGAGAACGATGAATGTTGTTGGGGTTGGGGTGGCTGTTGTAGTCGATGTGGTTGTTGCAGTTGAGATAAGCATAATAAAGGTTGTTGTGGTTGGGGTGGCTGTTGTAGTTGATGTGGTTGTTGCGGTTGAGGTGAGAATGATGGATGTTGTTGTGGTTGGAGTGGCTGTTGTAGTTGAGGTGGCTGTTGCGGTTGAGATGAGAATGATATAGGTTGGGGTGGTTGATGTTGAGGTGAGAAAGATAAAGTGTGTTGTTGTTGGAGTGGAGAGAATGATAATTGTTGGGATGGCAGCATTATATTACTATTATTACTATTATTATTATTATTATTATTATTACTATTATTATTATTACTATTATTATTATTATTATTATCATTATTATAATTATAATTGTAATTATTATAATTATTATTGTTATTATAATTATAATTATTATTATTGCTGTTTAAAAGTGGAATATGATTATATTGTTCACTAGACATTTTGAATTTTTTTTTTAAAAAAAATGAGTTTTTGATTTTTTATTTTTATTTTTTTATTTTTTAGAAGAGTTGAGAAATTACACGTATTTATATTATTTTCACGAAATTTGCAGATACGGATTATACCATATTAGTATGCCTTTTTCCAATTTTTATTGGTGGGTTGGGTGCGTGCGTGTTATCCTTATTTAGAAATCGATTTGGCGATTGCGGATATTTGTTGTGGATAAACTATATACATGATAATGATAAATAGTAAAAAGTAAGTAACAGTGAAAGATTTGATTTGCAAAACAATCGCCTAAATTTACATCAGGAAAATAAACCTTACGTAAACTTACGTAAGGTTCATAATTGGCCAGCATTATACGGAATTGTTAACAGAATTACCAAAATCTTGACACAATGCTGGCCAATTATGAACCTTACGTAGGTTTACGTAAGGTTTATTTTCCTGATGTATATTCTAGTTTTTGAGTAAAACGTGAACTACTTATAGAAATATTCAAGTATATCGACACCCCAATTTCGCTTATCCTTGTTAGTAAAGAATTTCATGGGCTGTATACTAGTCCCGTGGCAAAATCGCTGTGGGCATTATCTAAATTCGGCCGCATTCACGTGTTGTTTTACTCTATATTACTGGGGAAAACTTTTATTACAGTCGATGTTCTATCTAGATATTTCGTACAAAGATTATTACTACAATACGGCAAATATGATGAAGAATTGATTAAATTAAAATTACAAGACAATAATAATAATTCTCAAGAAACAGATAGAGAAAACTTCAAAGCTTTTCAAAACAGTATAAAGTCTCCGTGGTCATCGGAGATATCATTCGATGTGTTTATTGCTTTGTTAAACGAAGCCGAAGCAATATTTGGACCAAATTTGCCTCTAAAAGGGAATGATATTGAAAAGTTTCATTTTTTTAAGTTCAGGGAAGCTGCCTATTGACCAAGCAGCTCGGGTTATTAAGGAAAACTTGGATGAAATTCGTGATCTTATTGTCAATCAAAAATTCGCACCGTTTTCTCCAAGGCCAAAAATTAAATTTGAGGACACAAGTGAATATTTTAGAACAATGCAGATTATTAATAAGGAAGAGTTTCCAGAAAAAGATGGCTATGAGAACAATCGACATCTTCATATTATCGCAAGAGCAATTTTATTAGAAAATAGTATTATAGACATGTGGAAAGACGTCAGGTCAAAATTAATTAATCTAATAATTTAAAATTTATTAATTGTAAATTTTTTTAAAAAATCCTTGTAAATAATCAATAATAACAAAATACATAAATATTTACGTTGATTGTCATACCGAATTTTTATTTTTGTATAGAAAAATAAAAATATAATACGTAACAAGATTGATTAAGAAAAATATCTCGAAATTTTACTATGCAAAATGTTCTAAGGGTTATATGGCAAACATGCGATCCAATAAAATTACTAGTTCTCAAACTAGTAAGGCATTACGAGTATTCCTTAGATCTCAACTCATTAGTTATTAAGTGTCTTGGTTTTTTTTCCAGCTGCATGTACCAATAAAATAAAGATGAAATAATATTTACTTATGTCAAAAAAAAATTTTGACTGATTTTCACAGACTGACGTTCCATATATATATAAATGTCAAGGGTAACATTGCACAATGCGTGATGCAACAACGGTTGCAATTATCCCAACCAATTAAGGTTTTGATTTACTAAAGGATTTATATAGTAAAGATTATCCATTAATTACCCTATCTCATCTAATATGTTCCGTTGTTAACGCAATAAGAATTCCTCATTTATTATATGGGCGGGACATATATTGCAACAAAATGAACACCACGTAACAGTCAGTGTGCAAATCCTAAAAATTAAGGGGCAGGTCGTTTTGCCAGAAATTTTGGCTGATCGACATTGAAATTTTACTAATAAAAACTCCAAAATTTCCACGTTGTTTATTTTTCATGTTCTTTATTTTGTAAAAAATTTTCAAGTAAGGTTAATAAAAGAGCGGAAAAGAATCAAGGTCTCAAAGTTTTTTTTGTCTTTGTGTGACAATAGAAGTCGAAGACTGAATTCAATGCCTTGCAAGTAAACTTGTTAATTTAGCCGAAGTATTTTAAATATTTTAAATATTACGAATGAAATCACCATGCGCGTGGCTTTCCCAAAATTGGTTCCTTAAAAGGTTCGCTTAATTGTCAATATTTATTGCTGATAAATTCTTAATGTAAAGTCTATTTATATAAAGATGAATCGCTTATATGATATTAATTTCTATATAGGAAAAAATATTTAGAAACATATTCGAAAAAAATTTTTTTTTAATATAATTGCTCTAAAGCTTATCACTTGCTACACGATAAAATTTGATAAGGATGAAGGTTTGTCAAATTATTAATTTTTTTTGAAAAGAATCGAGAATCTTTACTGAAACAAAAAGTGATGATGTGTAAAAGCACAGAAGAAATGTATTGTATTGTGAACAATGAGGTGTATCAAAGAATGATTTCAAGTTGTATGTGAATGAAGTAGCTGTGGAAGAAGAAAAAAACATGATTGAACTTGGCGAGGTAAAAAAGTTTCTTTAAAAAAAAAAAAAAAAGTAGATATATTTAATTATAATTTAAACATGATGGTTTTAGATTTTGTGTGTTTCCTAAAATGCATTACAAGGACAAGGTAGAGAGTAGAACGGTGAAGATTCCAAAGAAACAATTCTCTTTAGTAACTGAAATTTCTAAACCAATTAAATCTCCAACCAACAGTATAAATGACAATAAAATTAAAGACAACAATAATGAAGATGATATTTCAAAAGCTCAAAAACCCGAGTACATAATCACAGAACATAATATTAACAATCTATACTATTTATCAATACCAAATTGAAATACCTTCTTTAATAAGTATCTAACTATTTCTCAACTATTTAAATACTTGTCAGAAACAATATTTACTCATTTAAAATGTTGATATATGACAGGAATTAATTGAAAAGACAATTGTAGACATAGAACCTTCCAGACTTTTGTAAATTCTTTTGAAAAATATATTTTAGATTTACCATTATCTTATGTTATTGATATTAACACAGCAAAAGCTAAATTTGTTGAATATAAAAAAAGATTAATTGTAAAATTAGAAAAAAACAGATTGAATAGAGAAAAAGAGAATAAGAGAAAGAAAGAGGTAGGCTATTTATTTATTGCTATCATCATCATCGTAATAATAAGAGAAAATGAAATAAATATTATAATTTTAACAGTAAAGATTAGTTAGTGTTGATACAGTAAGAAAATTTATTTTAGTTTTTAACTCTAATAAAAGCAATTCCTTCTTCGTCTCTTTGTGGTTGACCAATGACCATTAGAACACTGTTTGTTGATAGTTGATTATATATTCTATATATTCTATCACTAATCTTTTTTAAGCCATCTTGATATTTATTTGGATCAATAATGTTTTCAAGATCACGAAAATGTGCCCATACAAAATTAGGTTTTCTAATTTTTTTAAGGAGTTGTTCTTCAATCTAAAATTAAATTAACTATATATATTAATACATGTAGTATTTCTTACTTGGATCATAAACAAATGGATAGAAATAAGTACCTCTTCGTCATTGGAACACAAAGTAATGGTTGCATTAGAACCTGAACCAACACCATATAATTGAAACTTGCCATTATAATCAATAAATGCGGTGGATCTATTGCTTATGTTTAAAACATGTGTTAATGATTCTTGACGTTTTCCCGTGTAAAGGCCTAAATTTAATATATTCACACACATACATATTAGTAAACAATGTTTATTGTTAAATTAAATCAATAAAAATCTACCTCGTTCAAGTATGTATTTATATAGAGCAAGAATGGCACGGGCTTTCTCCTCTGCAGTATTCACAATTCCTAGTGGTGATTTATGCAAAATTGATTTAAGAAATTTTAATCCTGATCTTGAATGTAATCCATTGCTACCATGACACAAAGCTGATGTGTCAATAACATTTGAGTGTGCATACTATTTTTTTTTAAAAGAATATTTATTAATTGCAGATATGAATATACAGGTCACTCCCGTTATAAGGACATCCGTTATAAGGACAATCTCATTATAAGGACACTTGGACTCTGTCCCAAGTATGTTAGGACTTAGTAAAATTTATCTCGTTATAATGACATTCCCGTTATAATGACATTTTTAGGTCTGCCCGAGAGTGTCCTTATAACGGGAGTGACCTGTATATATATATATGTTTATTTATAAATTTATAAATCTCTCTACTCACTTTTAGTAATTCTAAATATTTTCCTAATAAATGACCGACTAATTTTGTTTGTTTAGTGATAAAAGACAATAAAATGGTTTGCATATCTTTTACGCTTTTCATTTTATGCCATCTATTTAAAAAAAAAAATAATTAATTTTGTATAAAAATTTAAAAAAATTTAATTATTATTTACCTTCTAATATAATCACAAGGAGGTGGACCATCAAATTTAAACTCTTCATTACAAATGACATTTTGTTCATAGTCAATTATGACAATATGTGCCCAATGCTGTTCTGTTTTGCATCCTACAAACAAGAATTCATTAGAAGAATTGATGGGAGTAGAATCAAGGGTAGTTTGAACCCATTTATCAGGCAAATGTTTTTCTTTCACTGGATAAGCTGGAACTCTGAACCCATGAACGGGCATGTTGTCTGTTCTTAATAACAATCTTGCAATTTTATCTTTTTCTTTACCTAAAAAAAATTATATTTTTAAAAGAAAATTATTATCATTATTATCTATAGATATGATGCTTATAATTGATAATATATATTAATGAGTAATTATACTTCTTTCAAAGGACTTTATAAGCCTTCCTTTGACATTTCCATTGGTTAAGTCAACTGTTAAAAACTGTTCCAACTTGTTGAACCATTGATTAATTACACATTTAACTCCAAATATTCTGTTAAAAGCAGTAAGGTCTATCCTGGTTTCATTATCAACAGGTTTGCCTGATACACCAAATAAACTTCCACCAAATGACGAGATTCCAACAACAACAATTCTTTTTATTTTACTTTTGTTCTATAGTTAAATAGATAAATTAAATATATAATTTGAATAATGATGAATATGATGAATATGATGAATATGATGATGATAATGATAAATCACACATACTCGAATTTCTATCCAATCCTCAGATTTTACATCATCTGTTAGACAATGAAGGATCATTCTTTGAAGGTTCTTTTTTTCAAAAAGCAGAAAAGGGCATTTAAATTTATTAATATATTTGAAAGATATATATACTTGTGTAAGATTTAATTTTATTAATATTATTATTACTTGGATATTGATTGATCTCTCTTTGATTAAGATTGATGGTCCGATTAATTTTTCTATTTCCTATATACTCAACACTTTACAATTAGATCACAAATAGATAAGAAGATATAATTTACATAATAAACAATAATAACAACCTCTCCTTGCTTTTCTATTGTCTGAAGAGTAACTTGACTAATAAATCCTTCATGATATACTTAAAACACGTGATATTATTAGTATGAATTCGAAAATAACAATTGAGCAATGTGTTGTTAAATATATATGTATGATATGCAAATTAAAACTAATTACCTTTTGTTCTTTTATTTGCTTGCATTTTTTTTCTAATAATAATAATTAAAAAAAAAACCAAATTTTCTTTCTCAGAAATGTTTTTTTGATGTTTTTTGTTTTGATTTAAAAATTAGGGCCTTATCTAGTACGGGGATTTATGATACACGACACGCGCATCTCTTATAAACCCCATTTTTGATTTTTATATAATAAAAAAATTTGTCATTTTTCACTATGCAAACAACTTTTCTTTATTAAACGAAAAATTGAAAGCTAAATTGGGACTTTCAAATGACCATCCAAACAAAAAATTAGCTTAAGTATTGGTGGTTATTCTATGACAAGTTGAAAGTATATTGCTTTTGTTGGCACCAAGGTTGGGTGACGAAAGTATTTTGGAGTGTAAAAAGTATTTCGTCAAATGGGGCACTAGTGACGAAATGTGACGAAAGTGACGAAACGTGACGAAAGTGATGAAACGTGACGAAAGTGACAAAGTGTAAAAGTCAAAAGTCAAATTGTGATAAAGATGACGAAAATATAAAATTCAATTTTATTAAAACAAAAATTTAATTTAAACATTTTTTTTACATCGTAAATCATGTTTCTTGGTTGGATGCTTAATTTTTGTATGCAAAATTTTAGTAGGAATTGCTGCTTCACATTTATTGCTGGTTTCATAACTTTCTTCAAAATCTGTAGAATCATCTGATAATTCTGATTGTTGAAGTGATTCTTCATTTACTATTTAATGGAATGTAACCATACATCAAAACACAGGACGTTCTGTGGCTAATTCTTGATTATTGTTAAATGAACTTTCAGGTATATCTAATTTTAATGTTTGCAAATTCATATTATAATATTATATGATGATGATTGAGAAGGAATTGGTGAATTGGGTGTGAATTAGAATTTAACATCATGAATTTTATTTACTCCATAATTTAAAATCTCCAAGATAATTGGTTTATTTATTGTTTTGTTAATTTCATCACTTTCGTCAAATTACTCAAAGTGTAAAAACCCTATTTCGTCACATTTATTTTCGTCATGTGACGAAAAGGAGACATTTCGGCACCCAACCTTGGTGACAATCTTCATGTTACTTGAATCTGAGCATTGTGGTCACCAGCCTGGATAATAGCAGTAATAAAGTAATATATAATATACCACAGAGTATAATGAAGGAGCACAGGCACATCTAAGGGATGCATTTGCTAAGTATAGTTGTATATATTATTTCTTTTATTTTTCTTTTATTTTAGAAACATATCTTAGGAAGAAATAAAGATGGCTCCTCGATTAATTGCAGCATATAAAAATTGAATTGCGGCTAACTGCAGTTCCCATTTTTAGGAAGAAACCTAAGATCAGTAAGAAGGCCAGAAGGTACTAGACCAAAAATGTTAATTGGTGGTCCGCTGATCAACGATAGAAATTTGTTACAGTCCCCAGCGAAAAGAATGGCGGACGCATTTTTTAAAGGTACATAAAATTTTCACTATTAATTTAATATTATTTTTTATTATTTAAAGTATGATACTAACACAACATTTTTTATTATATGATTAATATTTTGTATGGCCTCCTTGTGCATCGATGCATGCTTGAATTCGGTTTGGCATGCTTTCAATGCACCGAAGTAACACATTATTGTCAAGATCGTCCCATTCCTGCCGGATTATGGTAAGAAAAATCTCTTGTGAGATTTTTTTATTTTTTGCCACTAAATTCTTGACCTTTCTCTCTACTTTTCTCTTTAAAATGGCCCATACATTCTCAATAGGATTCAGGTCCAGGCTGTATGAAGGCCAAGAAAGAACCCGTCTTGGAAGACATTCTTCCAAGTCATGCTGAACATCTCGTGAGGTGTGTTTTGGGTCATTGTCTTGCTGAAAGACCCAGTTACAGACATGTAACATGTTTGCATTGTCATATAAATGATTGTCAAGAATTCTCCGGTACAAATGATGATCCAAATTTTCTGTGAACAGATGAATTCCGATTTTTCCTTTAGCACTAATCGCCGCCCAAACATGAACTTTGAACAGATGTTTTACCATAGGAGCGACAGGTTGTGCATTACAAGACCATGCATTAATTGTGTTGCTAAACATCTGGAGTGTTGTTTCATCAGAAAAAACAACTTTCCTCCAGTTGTAGTGCCAATGTTCACGTGCCCAAGACAAGTGAATGTCCTTCGCTCTCTGGGTCAAGAGAGGCACTTTTCATGGAAGAATTGAAATGTGACCAAGATTTT